GTGGATGTAGTAGAAAGAAGACTCTGGCACCACCAATGATTTGGATGTATTTTTTAATTTCTGTAAGGTGTTATTGATTTTTTTTATAAAATCGAAAAAACTAACGCCCACATGTGTAGCATTTTGCACATCGCTCACACGCCTTTTTTACCATTTATTTTGTCACATGTGAACAGATGACATCAGCAGTAATCTTTTTGGTTTTTGACTTAAAAATGGTTTATCTCTTAATTAAAAAATCGAAATAAAAATCTGTAAATCCGTCTCGACGAGATCTTCAAAACTAGACCCCATCTTGATATGTTTCGACGAATTTTTTTTCCAAAAGTTGCCATGATGTTTACACTGTAGTTGTCATAGTGCTTAAAATAAAGTTGCCATGTGGCAATCTCAGTTTGTAGAGCATGACAATTTTAGTATTTTGATGATGGCAACTCCATTACTTTGACCATGAAAATTATTTTTTCTATAAACCATGACAATTTTTAAGTGCATCTATCATGACAATTTTAGTTTATGGTACATGGCAAGTCTAGTTTCTTAATTCCCCGTTTTATAAATGTCAAAATTTACTTTTAAATGTAGAAAAAAATAGCTAAAACATAATATTGCAAGTTCAGTGTAAACACCATGGCAATTCATGTGCAATTGACATGGCAACTTTTAACCAAAAAAAGAACTCGTCGAAATATATTGATATAAGATCTAGTTTCGAAGATCTCGTCGCGAGGGATTTAGTGGTGAAAACGGATCTTCAATCGGATTTTTCATTTAAGAGATAAGACATTTTAAAAACTAAAAATCCAAAAAGATTCTCACATGCATGCATGAGGTGACGTTGCACGGTCTGTGTGTTATAAGACGTGTGGGTGGATTTTGCTCCCACCACACGTTTGGGCATTATCGTTGTCCTATAAAATTACATTACATTTTAGAATCTATAAAAAAATATGTGTTAAAAGGGGTTTTAAGAGATCCTAAAAAAAAGGAGTTTTAAGACAATCCGACTATACCACCTCTCTTCTGGATTAAAGGGCCTATTTCAAAAACAAGATATTTTTTTCTATTTGCAAGGATCATTGTCTTGGAAACATGCAACTATATCTATGTTCACATTAAATTCTGTCAAACTTTTGTTCTCCATGTAGAAATAAAATCAAATGATGCATGGAGTGAGAGTCACGCATGTAGCACCAATATGTTGTCTATAGGACTTAAATCTATCCTCTTTGTTTGATGTGATTTTTCAAGATGAGCCCAATAAAACAAAAATAAGGGAGTACGTAGAATTGCCAAATTTCCAAACAATACGTTGAGTAAGAAACTGCTAGGTATATTAGCACTACTCAGATTAACTTAATCCATAAATAGATCATGAACATGGCATTAAGAGTATGAAGCTCATGCTGAAATCTAAACATATGATCACGTACCAAACATAAAACCGAAACATCTATGAACACAGTAAATACGGCTAGCACATAAACGAGTAAATATGAGATGAACTGATTATACCATCCAGTAGGCCAGCCTAATGCTGCGGCGGCGACTAGGGCTTCACCCGCGGCCTTCTTCTTGGCAGCGGTGGCAGCTATGGTGTCGGTGTAGGGGAAGTAATCGAAGTAGAGGACGAGGACAAAGACAAACAGAGAGCAGTCGCACCGAGACACTCCCCAAAACTGTCATCGCCCTTCTCCCGGTGCAAGATCGGAAAGGATGGGGTTCCGGAGGCCCGCTCACCCAAACGGCCATGCACGCGATCGATGTGATGGGATCACCGAAAGCAGCAATACTGAATGGAACAGTAGATGGCGAGGAGGAACCGAGTGTGTCGGCTTTGAGTGACTAACGCCTCCAATATATAAGCCGCGTGATATGGAGTCATGGGATTGGGCTTAGGCCGACTACCGTGTCGGCAAACAGCCCACAATCCAAATTCTTGGACAGTGGCACTTCCATTAGCAACTCGTATATATCTTACTAATTAACCGTTTCTGACCAGCAAAAATAAAGCGCACACATGACATAGGGTCTGAGCTTGGCTCATTCACGAAACATGTCGCACGCACGAAGCTTCAATGTCGGCTCTGGAGAGAGGTCGTGTCCTCTTTGGGCCGGCATGAATGCCGCGACAATGCTCAGGAGCGGCGCTGACCGCTTCGAGCAGGAATGGGAGAAAGTCCGTGAGAGGGTTTTGGGTGAGTTCAAGCTGTCGGACGCGTGAGTGCCAGCCGTCCAAATGCCCGAAAGCCCCCCTCCCCCTCCTCCCCGGGTTTGCTTCTGGTTTGCAGGAAAACGGGAATCTGGAACGGTCCACGAATGGATACGGACCGTGCTGGATGGTACAACACGTCGAGACAGGATAATCTAGACGGATGCGGAGCGTTTGAGCGGTAGCGAGCTCGATTCCATGCGTGCTTGATGAGATTATGTGAATCTTTGCGTCCTGTAGATGCATGTGCGCACCTGATTAATTAAGTCCATTTGCGCGGCGGGTTGCTGCACCGATGGATCTCAGAACGTGCGAGAGAGTCCGCGGGGTTAGCTGTACATAATTTAGCTCCATCATCGCCTAAGAGAAAGCTCCACGCACATGCATGCGTGGATGCTGCTGGAGCAGTGCTCTGGACCGTCCGACACCTTCTTTCGCTGTTCGCGCGCAATCCTACATGTTTGTTGAGCCGTCACCAACCCTAGCTAGCTAGTTACTCCTTCCGTACCGAAATACTCTAGTTTCCCCAGCTACAAATATTTCGATACAGATGTACTCGCTCCGTTCTGATTTACTCGTCGTGGTTTTAAAACTATAAAACCACGACGAGTAAATCAGAATGGAGGGAGGGAGTAGTAATTTTAACAAACTAATCCAGCGACGTGGCTCTAATGGTGACCCTGGTCGGCCCCGCTCCTCCGTGGCGCCAACAGGAGAAGTAATTTGGCGGCACTGGCCGACACTCAAGAACCTCAACTTTCTTTTATTGTACAAGATAATTAGGCTATTGGCTTCCACTGTTGCTGAGAATCGCCTCACCTTTCGTCGCACTTATTGCTAATCGAATTCCATCGTTTGCTTGCTGGACTCGATCTGGTGCCATCCGCTAAAACGAATGTAGCGTGCGAAAATTAATGTTCGTATATATTCGATCAAGGTCGATGTTGCATTGAGCTCGTACATACGTACATCTACCAGATCATGCGCCACCGTTTCACCCTGTTCCGCATTGGTGCTGCACTGCAACTAACCTATAGCTTATGTCGCGGTCGTTCCCGCAAAAAAAAGTGTCGTGTCGTGTCATCCTCTTCGTCTTCTTCTTCTCTTGGATTGTCGTTCTCAATTCCAATTAGTGGGCCATTTGGCGCCCATCTCATCTCATGATCTGATTTCGCTTCTATCGTGTTTTCGTTTTCTTCAAATAGTTTCCATGGTTTTGGATATCCTGCTGGGTCATGATTAAACTTTCTCATCGTGATTATGAAACAAGTTAGTGGTCTTTTATGTCCTTCTCGTTTTCTTTTGTTGTTGACGCAATGGTACGTGTTTGTTGAGCCGTCGTTAGCCCTAGCTAGCTAGCACCCCTTTATAATCTATTCATATTCATATTATCAATTTTTTTTTGAAAAGGAGGTTGAACCTACCAAAATTGTTGACCTATGCATACTTATATGCATCTTCATTCGCACCGCCAGTGGAGTTGGCGATTCATTTAAGTGATGTAGCGGCCCACATGTACAGGAGAACAAACCTACCCAATTTGGCGGCACTGGCCCAAACTCAAGAACATATTAACTTGTTCATTGCTTGCACACGATACACACACACCCTCCTACAACTGTGTGAAACACCGAAACAGTACGAGTAGCTAGGTTAGCCCACCTATCGGTTACCGAAACAGTACAAGTGAATCCCACGGTACACCGTTTGCGTGCTACGGAGTAGTCATGGCTCTGGTGTCGATCCGCTAAATGAATGCAGCCCGAGGATGATTTAGAAAAGATAAGTGAGAGGCTCGGCAAAGTGAGGTCGTAAAAGAGAACTGATGTGCCGATGCGTTGAATATAGTCCATTTCATAATGTATGGCGGGGTGCACAATTTCACATATGACAAACTGATTCACCCACATTCACCATAATGTTTATCACATTTTCAAAAAAAAAAGACACACCTTAGAAAAACTGAACATGACAATTAAAAAAATGTCCGTGTAACTGAAACAATGTTTCATACATTGAAAAATGTAAATTACATTTTCAAATATGTGTTTCCCGAATTTTGAAAAAATGTTTATACAAATGTAATAAAATGTTTACATAAGGTAAGAAAATGTTTTTATCATTCGAAAAATGTGTCAGCATATATTTGAAAGAAATGATTAGTACCTATTCAAAAACAAATATTCAATTCAAAAAATGTGAAATCACGTATTTATTAATTTGGAACATATATTTTTTGGAAATATTATATAATGTTTTTTTGGATGTATATTAAAAATGTACAGTGTGTATAAAACGGAGTAGACATGAAAAAATATATTTCCAAAAAATCTTAAGCATTTATTTAATATTTTTTAATGAGCACAACAAAAATGTTCCTCCTATATACGAAAATAATGGACAACGCTGATGAAAAAGATATACATGTGCTGATAAAAAAACTCAATAAAAAAATAAGGAAGAAAAACACGAGGAAAGACTATAAGCAAATGGAAAACCAAAGTATCTAACCACGAAAAAGCACAGAAAAACTGTGAAAAAACAAAAGGAAAAGGAAAAAGGAAAAAAACCGGAGCACAGCGAGCGGCTACCGCGACGACGCAGCGAGGGACTGCCGGCCCGATTAGCTCGCCCGTATTCGATTCCTATATGGAATCAGTATTCCTCAAAGAAAAAAAGAAAAAAGCGAGATATAGCACCTGGGAGCAACTCCTCCTTCCCCACTGCCTCTGCTTCCGGTGGATCAATCGAGGCGAACCACCGGAGCGCCGCCGGAGCCGCCGCGGCGATGGAGGCGGTGAAGAGCCTCCTGAAGCCGAAGCCGACGCCGCAGCAGCAGCTGCGCGAGTGGCAGCGCCGCCTCCGCAACGAGGGCCGCAACATCGAGCGCCAGATCCGAGGTTCGGTTCCCCCTTGTTCCTCCTCCCGATTCGATCCAAGCTAGGGCTCTATACGGTCAACTGATGGGTGGATTTTGGTTTGGGGTGTGTGTGGGGGCGCAGACGTGCAGAAGGAGGAGAAGAAGGTGGAGAAGGCCATCAAGGAGTCCGCCAGGCGCGGCGACATGGGATCCGCCAAGGTACCTAGTACATATCCTCCTACTCTACTCTGCCTGCGCCATGGAGCGATTTGTGCGCCGGATTTACCGATTTTGTCTGTCTCCTCTGCTGACTGCTGCTGGTGATGCTTCTTCCTCCTCTCCTCAAGGCGCTGGCCAAGGAGCTGGTGCAGTCCAGGAAGGCCGTCAACCGCCTCTACGAGAACAAGGCCCAGCTCAACTCCATCTCCATGCACCTCGGCGAGATCGTCGGTAATATGAATCGACACCGCCTGCCTCGTATCATCCTTTCTACTGTAGATAGATGGCATTCTAGCATGGCGACATTTAGTAATTTACACCTGCCTGTTCATGTTCATGATGCCATTACAAACTCTGAAAAAAATTGCTACTTCAGTCAAATGCATGTGCTTCCTTTATAAACAACTGTGCACCTTGGCGAGCTCGTCAGTAACAGACAGTGTCTACTGACCTCGTATCATTCTATACTAGTATGGATAGATAGCACCCAAATACAGTGTCCTGTTCACTGGTATAGATATAGCTGCCTTGAACTGAAACGACCTGTAGAATTCCTCGTTGCTTGACTATGAGTTTGGCAAACAAGAATTTCTAAAATTAGCATATGGTTTAGCTTACTGAAAAACAGGATTAGCTTCCTCTGTTTCGTTCTGAATTCAGGAAAGTAATGATGATATTGTTCATCTTGGTTCACTTATCTGTGTTTCCTTTCTAAACAACTGTGTTAATCTTCATACTTGTGGCCGAAATTCCACACCTAGGTGCAAAGTTAACTTCTGCTCTTCATGATGCTATACAAACTCTGAAAATGTGCTTCCTTTCTAAACAACTGTGCACCTCGGCGAGATCGTTGGTAACAAACAGTGTCTACCTCGAATTGTTCCATACTAGTATAGATAGCATCCAAATACAGTGTGCTGTTCATTGGTATAGATATAGCCTCCAAGATGCAAAGATAACCTTTATTTACTATAGCACAGTAGGAGCCTCTCCTACTGTTCTCAGCTCAAAATATCTGCGCTAATCTTCATAGTTCTGGCTGAAATTCCACACCTAGATGCAAAATTAACCTCTGCTGTATCGGACTTCAAGTTTATGTGGATCAGGACTAGGGCCAGGGGGAGAAGTTATAAATACATGAAAGATACTAATGTGCACATTAATATGGAGATTTTGTTCCTAGCTGGTAGTTAATCTTACTTGCTTGTGAATACGTACCAGACAGCCTACTTGCAAGTGTTAATGCTTAAGAATTCTTTGACTTGAATTTTGTTTTTTGAATATAAGACTTGAACTGAAATTAACATGTACCATTCCTTGGTGCTTTCCTAGAAGTTATTATGGCATGGCTTAACTTGTGGAGAAGTAGGATTAGCTTCTTTCGTTCATTCTGACTGAAGGTTTGTACTAACGACATGCTGTGCTTTGTAATCTTGTAGCTACTACCAGGACGGTAGGACATTTGTCCAAGAGCACCGAAGTGATGAAGCTTGTGAACAATCTGATGAAGGCCCCAGAGATAGCTGTCACCATGCAGGAATTCAGCAAAGAGATGACAAAGGTACATAACAAAAGTCCTCGTTTGAAGGTCTCTCTTGTGTTTTGTACTGGTACCGGTTCTTCCTAAATGGTTGCTGTGGTGCAGGCTGGCGTGATGGAGGAAATGGTTAATGATGCCATGGATTCAGCACTGGATGATGAGGACATGGAGGAGGAGATAGAGGAGGAGGTTGATAAGGTCCTCTCTGCAATTGCCGGGGAGACTGCGTCTCAGCTTCCTGACGCTGTTCGTAAACAAAAGGAGAAGGTTACACAACCTTCGACAAGTGAACCTGCACAGGTAATACAATACGACCCTTTCTTGCCCTGCACTTTGTGCAATCTTAAAGTCTTTTTGGAGTCCTGAAATGCCTCACAAGGAGCTTTCCACCGTGTGTAGAGAACTGCTGTAGCGGAATCCGTTGACGAAGACGATGATGATCTAGAAAAGATAAGAGAAAGGCTCGCCAAAGTGAGGTCGTAAAAGAGAATCGATGTGCTGACATGTGTATAATAGTCCATTTGGTAATGTACGATACACAACTTGGCAGATGTCGCCCTTGTCACTCACAGACTGATCTATTATTACCCAAACCACCGGGTTGTTGGATCTCTGCTGTAACCTGAATGTGACGATCATCACGTGTGATCAAACGTGCCCTGTATTTTGTTTTGTTTTCGACTTGTTGCGACTACATAAATATTGTAAGTATATGCAGATATCATGTCAGTAAAGCTGGATGCACATCTGTGCAGAGCTACAAACTGAAATGCTGAACTTGAACTTTGTTGTTCACTTCACTTTGCACAATGGTTTACTATTTAGTAGTACTATTTAGTTTTGCAGCTTCCCTCGATCATGTACTAGCTCTTCCCGGCAAAAAGAGAGAAAACAGATTAGGATGTCTCCGCTCCAAAATAGATGATGCAACTTTGTACTAGCTCTGGTTTAAGTAAAGATTATGCCACTATGAAATTGTGTAATGTGCTTAAAAATGCATAATCTTTTTGGGGACTTCATTTGACGATGAATTCAGTGATATATTTGTTGAGACATATGGCAATTTTGCACTCTGTTAAATGACGGTCTAATATAAAACCCGTCTCGATTTATAAAGCCAGATACATCAAATTAGCAACCTAGCACCTGCCTCGACTTATAATCCCGGATACATGAAATTGACCACCTGAAATTCGTCCTGTTTATAAACACGGATACAGTTAGAGCAACTCCAACGGGCAGACCCATTTCGTCCGCGCATGTCTATTTGGGTCCGCGCGGACAAAAAACACTGCCCAACGCGCTGATCCATTTTTATTTTGTGTTCGCGCGGATCCATTCCATGCGCAAATTTGGGTTGCATTTGCGTCCAAGGCGGAGCGCGGCTGGCCCACCTGGCACACTCACCACCGCCCACCTCTCTCTCCTTTTTTTTTCTCTGCTCAGCCCACGAGCCTCTGTACACGCATGCCGGCAGCCTGCCTCGCCTCGCCTCCCCTTCCCCGCGCCTGGCCGTCGCAGCTGCTCGAGTCAGAGCGCCACCGCGCCCAACCGGCGCTCCTACCCGCGCTCGCCCAGCTGCTCCTGGTCGCGCGCCCGGCGGTGCCCGCTCTCGTGCCTGGTTCGGAGTAGGCCATGGACGCCGCAGCTCCAGGCGTTGACGCGCTCGCCCCGCTCCAGGTGTTGTTGGTGAGGTGCGCCGCCGCCGTCGCGAAGTGCATGCCGGGGCAGCTCCTCCGCACGCGGCTGGATCTGACCGCCGATTGCGTGCACTGGAGTGGGCTGCCGCGTGCTAGCTAGCTGCTAGTCGCGTGCATGCGCTGGAGCTGGCCGCCGCTGCTAGCCAGCCGGCGCACAAGCGGGCGCGAGTGCGCGACGCGGGCTGGGCGGGAGCGGCTGCAGCCCCGGCGGGGCGCGAGCGACGGGGTGCGGGCAGGGCG